ATTTTAATATTGCAGACTTGCAATATTATAAGTGATACTGATATTATATAACACTTTTAATTAAATGTGTATCTTGAATAAATATAACTTTGACTTTCAAATAACACTGATTTCGTTGTCTTGGGTGACATCTGTGAAAAAAATTCAGGTGCTCAGGCATGAAAATGTGCCGCTCAAACACTATACTTTTTCGCCCACACTGAAAAAAATTAGAGGGAACATTGCTCGCAATGGGAGACCCCAATAGTGGTCCCTGTCAAGGCCTATGGGTCCATCAGGTTCTGCGCTGACTACAAGTCCACCATCAACCTTGGCCTCCAGGCAAACCCCTATCCAGTCCCTGTGGTGCTGCACCTGTTCCATTCCTTGGGATGGGGTTGCACCTTTGCCAAACTGGACATGGTGCAGGCCTACCAGCAGCTCCCAGTGGATGATGATGCAGCAGCCGCTCATACCATCATCACCCACCCTGGGGCCTTCCATTGTCTCCGCCTCCAATTTGGCGTTTCAGTTGCCCCAGGGATCTTCCAGAACCTCATGGAGCAGCTGCTCCATGGGCTCCCTGGTGTCGTCCCCTACTTCAATGATGTCCTGATCGCTGCTGTCAGTCGCTCAGGGCTCATCGAAGTACTTCGGAAGGTCCTCGACCGTTTTATGGGCGCAGGTCTCAAATTAAAGCGCAGCAAATGCTCCTTTGCTGTGCCTAAGGTGGAGTTCCTGGGCTTCATGATTGACACCCATGGAATCCACCCTACCCCTTCTAAAGTTTCTGCCATCCGGAACGCCCCTGCGCTCACCTCCAAGGCAGAGCTGCAAGCGTTCCTTGGCCTTTTACATTTTTACACGCCTTTCTTGCCGCACAATGCATCACTAGCTGAGCCGCTGCATCGGTTGCTTGACCAATCTGCAGCCTGGTGCTGGGGCAGCCGTGAAGCACATGCATTCATGGCTGTCAAAGCCATGCTGACGTCAGAGGCAGTCTTAGTCCAATACAGTGACAAGATGCCACTGACGTTAGCATGTGACACCTCCCCTGTTGGTCTGGGGGCTGTTCTGAGCCACGTCCTCCCTAATGGCTCAGAGGCCCCCGTGGCTTTTTATTCCTGGACACTCTCCTTGGCTGAGAGGAACTACAGTGAGATTGACAAGGAGCCTCTGGCTGCGGTATCCGGGATTAAAAAATTCCATGACTATTTTTATGGTCGGCACTTTACTCTCTACACTGACCACAAGCCTCTCCTTGGGCTTTTGGCTGGTGATAGGCTGACCCCTCCCATCCTGTCTCCCAGGATGACCTGCTGGACGGAGTTTCTTTCAGTGTACTCCTAAAAGCTGAGATACCATCCTGGCAAGCAGCTGGGGCACGTCGATGCCCTTAGACGTTGCACCCTTCCCTGCACTGACCCACAGCCAGTCCCTTGTCTCTCAGTCCTGTCCATTGCGGACCTGGATCTTCCTCTGTCAGCCTCTGATGTGGCAGCCCACTCTGAAGCTGACCCTGTCCAATCGTAGGTCATGGCATGGGTCCTGAGGGGCTGGCCTACAGGGGGTGTCTCTCAGGAGTTTTGCCCCTTTAAGACCTATCAGTTAGAGCTGTCCCTGCACTGTGGTTGCCTGTTGTGGGGCGACAGAGTTATCATTCCTCCCTCCCTCCGCCACCAGGTCCTCTCCCGTCTCCATCCGAACCACCCCAGGGTCACGGGCATGAAGGTGCACGCCCAGAGTTATGTCTGTTGGCCCACCCTGGATGATGAGATTGAGGGCTGGGTGGGGATGTGTGCCATGCCAAGTGTCCCATCCTGCTGTCCCCTCCACCTCCCCCTGGGAGTGGGAGATGCCCAGGGGGCCTTGGTCCTGTGTGCACCGCAATTTTGTGGGTCCCTTCCATGGCCAGATGTTCCTGGTGGTCATGGATGCGTACTCTCAGTGGGTGGAGTTGGTCCTCATGTCCTCCACCACAGCCGAGAGTACAGTGCAGGCCTTATGGCGCCTCTTTGCCACTAATGGCTTGCCAGACGTCTTAATGTCCGACAATGGCCCGCAATTCTCATCCACGACATTCCAGGAATTCCTGGCCGTGCAAGGGATCCCCCATGTGCCAGTCTCCCCTTATCATCCGGCCAGTAATGGCAGGTGGAGAGGGTGGTCTGGTCAGCCAAGAAGGCTTTGGGCCGCATGGACCATGGCGACTGGCCAGCAAGGGTGGCTGCTTACTTTATGGCCCAGCACTTCACTCCTTGCCCCATCACATGGAAGAGCCCCACGGAGCTGCTGATGGGCCAGCGCCTGCGGACTACCCTGGATGTATTCCACCTTCTCTACTCAGGGGATCAGCCTGGCAACCTGGGGGCCCCTTTCTGTTCCTTCTGGGTGGGAGACTTGGTCTGGACCAGGAGCTACTCTGGGAATCCTTGGTGGGTGCCTGCCACCATCACCGAAATAACTGGTCCCTGTTCCTACAGGGTCCACCTACCAGATGGCACAGAGTGGCGGCACCATGTGGACCAACTAAGGCGCCGCCACCCTCCAGACTCAATCTGACCCACAGAGGTCAGCCACCATCGCCCAGCAGCCACCCTGAGGCCCGCTGCCACTCGCAGGCTCCATTCCACATGAAGCCTTCCCCAAGTCAGGCCTCTCCTACCCAGTTACCATTTCCCAGCAACCTGTTGCACCATCTCAAACAGACCTCGCATTTCCAAGTTCGCCCCATTTAGGCCTTCCACGACCAGGCCTTCCCAATCCCTTCACCACATACCAGCAAGTTTGTATTTCCCTGCCTGTTCGGGCACGCCCCCACCACCCGGCCTACCTCTTCCTGGGATTCCATCCTCCAAACTAGGTCTTCGTGACGTCACCCGGAGCTCCACTCCCTCCAGGGAGTAGCTGCTACACGGACGTCTTACCTCTCCAGTGCCGCCTCCTGAACTGAGGCATTTGGGGCATGTCCACCGCCATCCTGCCCTCAAGGGTCTTCTCCTTGAGCAGGGTGCTCTACGAAAACATCTTCAAGTTCCTTCCAACCCTGTTATATTGTGTGGTATAAAATAGATACAAAATAAATGGATACTGTTGTTACTGGTAGTGGATCTGGATACTTGAGAGACCGCCTTCTGCCAATTACATCCCTGCGACCAATAAGATCACATAGATT